CGTCCAAATCACTGTAAAACCCATTCATTGCGTTCTTAATATTAATGACTTATCCCTCGCTTCTAAAATTTGTTTTATAGAAAAATATCTGTTCTTTAAAAATTAAAGAGAGATAAAGACTTTTCCTTGTGTGTGTGTGTGTGTGGGAATACCGAGAGAGTTTATTTAATCACTACATCTGCCGTAGAAGAAATACTAAAGGGAATATTGTTAAGTAGCAAAATAAAATCACATAAATGTAAAAAGGTTGCTGATAAAGGCAATTGTATGGATAAGTAGAAAATATTATAATGCCTTAACAGTTGTACATAAATCTTTTTAAATGCAGATATAGACGTTAAAAGACAAAGGTATAAAAATAAGTATATAACAATAAAAATGTTAGCATATACAATAAAAATAAATAAAATTTGTTTCATAAATGTTTAGTTTTCTGACAAAACGTTCCATAATGTCTTTTATTTTCTTTAACATATTAGGCATAGATTTTTTTAAAGATTGCATCTGTAAAAACAAAATAAAAAACTGTATCTAAAAACATTTGGTCTCCGTATACCCGTTATATCTGTGTAAGACGGGTATCTGTATCCCTGTGGGTCTCTTCCTATGGCCTTTTATTTCCCTTGGTTTTCTATTTTGTCATTTTTGATCTTCATATTCCTGGCTATATTGAGTGAATGCTGGTGATTGTATGTGAACAAGTCCAGAGCTATCCTGAACTCTAGGATAATGTTACTTTTCTCAAGATATAGGTATTTATTCTCATTTACTTCTGGCAGTTTCAGGTCATTTTAATTTGATCAGGGATTGAGATGATTCAAAGCTGAGTTTGAGTTTTTGATAATAAGTATTTTCATTTAGTTATGCACGTGTTACTTACAAAGCTTGGGGAGAGGGGTGGTTCCAGGAGTCTCTTCTCCTATCTGGGCCCTGATCTTCCGGTTTTGTTTTCTAGTCACCTGAATAGGTCGAAAAGTCTGCTCAGCTGCTGAGCTGCCCAGCCTCGTCTGCAGGGCCAGATGTCCAGCTTTCCTTCCTGGATTTCTTTTTCTCCCAGATGCTGCCCTCCTAAGGTTTTGCTACCTTGTTAGCTCTCTGGGGTTTTTTGGTTTTGTGTTTGTTTCTGTTTTTGAGATATTTCTCAATCTGTTGCTGGGTAGAGGGCCATGGCATCATCATAGCTCACAGCAACCCCCAACTCCTGAGCTCAAGCGATCCTACTGCCTCAGTCCCCTGAGTAGCTGGGACTACAGGCGCTTACCACCATGCCTGGCTAGTTTTTCTATTTTTAGTAGAGACAGGGTGTCATTCTTGCCCAGCTGTTCTCAAACTCCTGAGCTCAAGGCATCCACCCACCTCGACCTCTCAGAGTGCTGGGATTACAGGTGTGAGCCACTGCGCCCAGCCTCTCGGATGCCTTGTAATGGATTTACAAAAATAAATCTGTCCGCGTTTCTTAGTTACTCACCATGGAAGTTAGGTCTGAATTACCTATCATGCCATTACCGGCAACACCACCCACCTCTCAGCCAAGGAGTTTATTATGTTAAATCCAGTGGGCCCCTTAGAAGCCTCTAGAATAGGGAATTAACAGGATGAGGGTGATATTTTAGGAAGATGACCATGTCAGTGGTGTACAAGCCAGAGAGGAGCTGAGAAAGTATCGGTGTATAAAACAGTTACAAGACTCTGCTTTCTGAACCCTGAAGTCGGGTGAAAGCAGAGGGCAGGGATGAGGAGCCGGGTTCTCCATGTCAGACTCGCCTGGGTGAGAGTCTTAACTCCCTGCTTACTAACAGGCTGGCTTTTAGCAGTTCCCCCACCCTGTCCCCTCATCTGTAATAAAGGATGATAAAGTCCCTGCTCCCTGGGATTGTGAGATTTAGGTAACAAAACTCGTGCAAAATACTGGTTTGTTGGTTTATTTTTAAGAAGACAGGGTGTTTGTTGTCCAGGCTGGAGTACAGTGGCTATTCACAGCACAGGCCTGATCACAGCACATTACAGCCTTGAGCTCCTGGGCTGGAGAGGTCCTCCAGTCTCTGCCTCCTGAGTGGGTGGGACTAAAGGTACATGGCACTGCACCTGCCCAGGAAATCTTTAATGCCTGGCACATAGTACATGCTCAGTAAGTAGTCATTGCTGTTGCTATCCTAAGAACCAAACCTCAGTTATTTAGTTGAAAATTCAGTGTCACCTTTTTTTTTTGAGACAGAGAATCTCACTGTCTGTGACTCTCTGTCACTGACTCTACCCTGGGTAGAGTCCTGTGGCATCACAGCTCACAGCAACCTCAGTCTCTTGGGCTCAAGCCGCCCACGCAGCTGGGATTACAGGTACCCACCACCACACCGGGCTGTTTTTTCTGCCTTTAGTAGAGACAGGGTCTTGCTCTTGCTCAGGCTAGTCTCCAACTCCTGAGCTCAGGCAGTCCGCCTGCCTTTGTTTCCCAGAGTGCTGGTATTACAGGTGTGAGCTGCTGCACCCTGCCTTTCAACCTCATGTTAACAGCACTACTCAGGGGCAGGGCATTGTTGACTTTAGGGGTACCGTTCATATCATGTGCCTCAGTGACTCATGCTCAGTAGCTCACATGCCTTTATGTAACAGCCCCATACCAGTGATATTTTAAATATCCACCATGTGCTGAGCTGGTTTACAGCCAGATGCCATGATTTTGAAGCTGGTCCCGTCTCCAGGGTCTGATGCTAGGTGATTTTATTAATACAAAGTGCCTTTTGTCAGGCTTCTGGTGGGTGCTTCCATTCTTTTAACTTCCTTTGAAGTAGAGGTTCATATTCTGTTCATATTTTAGGTGTATAGAACCATAACATCTTAACCATTTTACTTTTAAAAACAACCCAGTGTACGAGAATAGCAGCTTACAAAAAGATAAATCAGATTATGAGCCTTTAAGTTACAAAAGGATTTGGACAATCACAGATAACCTCAGAGACGATCTTTTGAAATGTCTCATTTTTGTAGATGATCAAAATGTAGGCCGGAAAGATGGAAAGACTGGCCCAAGGACATGCATCAGCGATGGCAGTCAGGACTAGGACACACGTGTCCTGATTTCTGTGGATTTTGGTTCTCTTAGGCAAAAATAGCACCTGTGTGTCTACTCTACACGGTTACTGCCTTCTCCAGTGCTTTCAGATTTCACAGGGCCTGGGTGTTAATGCCCGGGGCAGACCTGCCTCTCAGAAGGCAGAGGAGAGGCTAGAAAATACATACTAAGTAAGCATCTTTTCTTTTCAATGCTCAGAGGCAGTTAACGCTGTCTGCCTGCCATCCTAGTCTTTTAATCTCCAGAAATAATATGTTTTCAGTGTCCCACTAAATGATCAGTTTCTGGGGCTCCACTCAATGTAACAGAATTCCTCTTTTGCCTTTTTTCACAGAAGTGGGGATGTATACTCACCCTTGTTGATAGTCATGAGAAATCTGTGCCAAACAGCAAACTATTTTATTTATTTAATTTATCTTTTTTTTTTTTTTTTTTGAGACAGAATCTCACTTACTCTGTTGTCCTGGGTAGAGTATCTTGGTGTCACAGCTCACAGCAACCTCAAACTCTGGGGCTCAAGTGATCCTCCTGCCTCAGCCTCCTGAGTAGCTAGGACTATAAGGTCCTACCACCATGCCCAGATAGTTCTGGTTTTGGTAGAGATAGGGTCTCTCCTCTTGTTTAGAGTGGTCTGGATCTCTTGAGGTCAGGCAGTCCACCTGCCTCAGCCTTGCAGAGTGCTAGGATTACAGGCGTGAGCCACCTCGGCTGGCCAGGAGGGTGCTTTGTTATTGAGTCCTCTCTGGATCTGTTTTGGTGGACAAAAGAAAGACCATCTTAGAAAGGAACCTGGAAGGAGGAGCAGGGGAGGCCTGATGGTGCTGGTGGAGGGTCAGTGGTCAGACCATGAAATGCTTTTCAAAGGGAAAGTGAGTCAGGAAAAAGAGATGATACCAGTGGGGACAGGGGCATTGGGGAAAAAGCAAAAGTGGAGCCCAAGCAGGATGCTGGCGTGCTCTGGAATAGACAGAGTGAAGTCGAGAGGGAAAGGCTCCCCGGTAAAGGACCTTAGGGGAGCCACTTTGATTCTCTTGGGCTTAAGCGATTCTCTTGCCTCAGCCTCCCCAGTAGCTGAGACTACAGGCGCCCACCACAATGCCTGGCATTTTTTGTTGCAGTTGTAATTGTTGTTTAGCTGGCCTAGGCTGGGTTTGAAACCCACTGCCGTTGGTGTATGTGCCTGGCGCTGTAACCACTGTGCTACGGGCACCCCCCTTTTCTTTTTTAGAGCAGGGCTATCCAGCCTTTTCCCCCCTCTGCTATACATTGGAAGAGGAGTTGTCTTGGCCCGTATGGTACAAACACCAATGAGCATAAAAAATAGTCTGCATAATTTTCAAAATATCCAACACTCCCAATAAGCCAAAAAAATCCACACAAAATCGGCAGGTGGCCACCAGGCCACAGGTTTGACACCCCCAGCTTTGGTGCTTTCAAGTGAAGGTATTGGGGGTTCCGAGTATTTATGTAATCCAGACACCCAAGAAAGGAACGGGGAGCATAACTCTGCCCAGTGGCTGCTTTGATCTACCCACCCTGGGCTCTTGGAAAGGTCATACCCAAAGGTGTTGTGACATGCTTGTCTTCTGAATGCCTGCTATTGGGGGCTGGGGGGGGGTCTGTAGTGAGCACAGCCAGGACAGAAGAGTAAGGTCACTGGGACTGGGAGGTGTCTGGGCCTTCCAGCTAGCTGGATGTGCACTGTGGGCCTCCTGTGTCCATAGGACCCTGTCAGCCGGGAGCTGGCTCCTGGATGGGCCATCTGGACCCCCCACATCCCTCCCCACCCCAGCTCCTTGGCCAAGCGGGAGAGGTGAGCAAGGGCAGGTGGGTCTAGGCCCCAGCTTGAGGGGTGGGGAGGTCCGCAGGGCAGACGCGGCCGCCAGTGTCTGCAGCACGGGTGCCTAATGTTGCATTTCTGTCTGCACAGGGCACCATGCCGGTGGAAAGGATGCGCATGAGGCCTTGGCTGGAGGAGCAGATCAACTCCAATACGATACCAGGGCTGAGGTGGCTTAACAAGGTGAGTGGTGACGCCCCTGTGGACCACCAGAAAATAAAATTATCCTGGGGTGTGTACAAACTAATGGTCATTCATTAGAAAAAACAGCCAACCAAAAATGCTCATATCAAAGAGTTTTATCATCTTCTTAGACTGAAGCCTCAGACTTGGGTAACCAGTGTCCTCTTCCCTTTGGGTATTTTGACAAATACCTATTTGTCAGGTATTTTGGGAACTCTTTATGGGAAGCTCCCTTTGGTATTTTTCTTCAGTGCTTCTTACCCTCTTCCTTCTCTGGGTTATTCCTTTCTTTCCCTCAGAGGGTGTGGAAACTCCAGGTACTTATTATATTGGAAATGAAGGGTAGGGAGCTCATTGCTTTTCTTTTCAGTGTTTCTTATTTAAAGGAAACTTGTTTTTGTCTTCTTATTCATTTTATTTTATTTTGTAGTATTTTGAGACAGAGGCTCACTGTCAGCCTGGATAGAGTGCCATGGCCTCAGCTTAGCTCACAGCAACCTCATACTCCTGGGCTCAAGCATTCCTCCTGCCTCAGCCTCCTGAGTAGCTGGTTGCAGGCACTGACCATCACACTCGGCTAGTTTTTCTATTTTAATAGACACGGGATGAGGCTCTTGAACTCCTGAGCTCAAGGGATCCTCCTGACTCAGCCTCCCAGAGGATTACAGGTGTGAGCCACTGCACCCTGTCAATTGTTTTCATCATGCCTGCTTTGAGGAGGCCCAAAGGAGAAATTTCTCTACTCCTGCCAGGAAGAATTATAATTCTTCTGATCAAAAGTTTTTTTCTTCTTCTCCACCTCTCCCTCCTTTTTCCTTTCCTTTTCCTTTTTTTTTTTTTTTTTTTTTTGAGAAAGAGTCTATGTTTCCCCTAGTAGAGTGCAGTGGCATCACAGCTCACAGCAACCTTAAACTCTTGCAATTTTCTTGCCTCAGCCTCCCTAGTAGCTGGGACTACAGGCGCCCACTACAATGCCTGGCATTTTTTGTTGCAGTTGTCATTGTTGTTTAGCTGGCCTGAGCTGGGTTTGAAACCCACTGCCCTCGGTGTATGTGCCTGGCGCCGTAACCAATGTGCTACGGGTGCCCCCCTTTTCTTTTTTAATCTTAAGAATACAGTGAATAATTTAGCTGGCCAGGCTTTATCTTTTTGTCAGGTGCATGAGCTGAGAGCCAGATTGCGGATTGTGTCTGCTTCTAATAAGACAACAGGGAGTTGCACCATTTTTTGTTATTGAGACAGTGTCACTCTATCACCCACATTGTAGTGCTGTGGCATCATTGTAACTCACAGCAACCTCTCCTGAATCAGCCTCTCGAGTAGCTGGGACTACAGGCCCCCGCCACCACACCCAGCTAGTTTTTTGTTTTTGTTTTTGTTTTTGTTTTTAGTAGAGACAGGGTCTGGTTCCTGCTCAGGCTGGTCTCAGTCTCCTGAGTTCAAAGGATCCTCTGGCCTCCACCTCCCAGAGTGCTGGGGTTACAGGCGTGAGCTACCACCATGCCCAGCCACTTCAGCCTATTGTTTTATTTTCTTTTTACTAATAGCACTTCGGGCTTAATGTTATTTTTTCCACTGTGGGCTTTATGCTGTCTTTTCAGAGGTCTCTCAAATCTTAGTACTTTTTGTTTCTTTTCCCGTCATCCATTTATTTTTCATTTAATGTTACTGATTTGAATGTATGTGCTATGAAGTCAATTGAAAGAACTTCAGTAATCCATATGCCTATTTCATGGAACTTGTCACGCAGCTTAAGGTCTTGTGGCAAACAGTGTATTTTCCTAGGCTTGCCATATCTGTAGTGTTTTAGATTTAGACATGTAATTATCCTCTTCTCAAGAACTAAACAGGAAAATAGGTAGCTTCTTTGCCCGCTTTGGTAGCAGGGACACCTATGGAGCTGTCAGGGAAGAGTTGAAGAGCCTTAGGATAATAATAAAAATAAATAATAATAACAAAAGGTAGCCAGGTGCGGTGGTTCATGCCTGTAATCCCAGCACTCTGGGAGGCCAAGGTGGGTGGATTTCCGGAGCTCACAGATTGGAGACCAGCCTGAGCCAGAATGAGACTCTGTCTCTAAAAATAGCTGGGTATTGTGGCAGGCACCTGTAGTCCCAACTACTTGGGGGCTGAGGCAAGAGAATCACCTAAGCCCAAGAGTTTGAGATTGCTGCGAGCTATGATACCATGGCACTCTATCCAGGGTGACAAACTGAGACCCTGTCCCCCCCCCAAAAAAAAAGAAAGAAAGAAAGAAAAGCTAACGTTCATTAAGTGCTTACTCTGTGCCAGGTAGTCCTCTGCACAGGTTACGTGCATTACTCACGTAATTACCATATGGAGTAGGTACGGTTATTATTTTCCTTTTTACAGATAAGGAAACTGAGGCACAGAGAGGTTAAGTGGGCTTCTGTTTTGAAGAACGAGATAACATTACCTGTTTTGATTTAGAGTGGGAGATGAAAGGATATGCTGGCTGATTCTGAAGAGAAGTAAGTTGTTCGTTTTTGCTTTTTCTTTTCTCTAAATGCATCCACCAATTTGGGGTGGCTTGACATAGGGAATAATGTGTAGTGTCATCGTGCCACCTATATTGTGGAGGTGCTTGGGTTGCTGCAGGTAGCTATCTGTAGTAGATGGAACTCTGGCCCCTAAGAAGGTGTGTCCCCAACCTGCCCCCTGGCACCTGTGGGTGTTATTTGGACAAAGGGTTTTTGCAGATGTGATTAAGGATCTCAAGATGAGATCATCCTGGATTATCTGTGAGGGATTTAAATCCGTTGCAAAGTGTCTTTATAGAGACAGGAGAGGAGAAGACGTACACTGAGAAGCCAGAAGCGGAGATTGGAGCATTATGGCCACAAGCCACAAGCCTAGGGGACTCTACCAGACACCAGAAGCAAAGGTTTCTCCCTCCAAGCCTTTGGAAGGAGCATGGCTCTGCTGACACCTTGATTTTGGATTTCTGGATAGAAACTAGATAGAATAAATTTCTGTTGCTGTAAACTGGCCAGTTCGTGTAATCCGTCACGACAGCCCTCAGAAACTAAGATACATACCTCTGAGGCTATTTCCTGACTGTCACTCTCTCTCGGGATGCTTTGTCTGCCATCCACTTTGCCCATGATTTTCTGGTGGAGGACCACAAGGCCAATGGGTTTCCCTTTGTGCCCCATTCTCTGACCTGCCCAGCTTCACTCACCTGGCTCTCGGCTTGAGAGTTCTCCTGAAGCAGAGAGAGGGAGTGGAGACCCCTCCGCCACCTCCCTGGGACCATCTGCTGGAGCTGGGCACAAGCCAGGCTGAGGAAGGAGAGTGTGCCCGTGGCTGCCAGCTCACACCGCCTCTCTGCACGCCGCTGGCTCAGAAGCCGTGGACGGCATCATGCCTAGAGCCCTCTCAGCAGGCGTCCCGCCGGGGCTTAGCCAAAGTGCACATGGGCAGCACTGTCACTGCAGGCCTCTTCATACCTGCACTCCCCCAGGGCACGCTTTTTCTAGGTTTCTGATAACTGAGGCTTGTTGCCATTCATCTGTCTGCGTAAATACTGAGCCAGAGAGGCTAATGCTACGTCTTCCCCATTCACAAGCATTGTAGAGATTCCCTGTCTGTATTTCAGGTAATTTGAGGTCATTCCAAAATGTCTTTGCCCACTGAAGACTGTTGTAACTCTTAGAAGAGACACTGTCCATGGCTTTGTGGCTCAGTCATGCCTTAGGTGTTGGCATCTGTGGCTGGCACTGGGGATGTCTGCTTCGTTCTGGACACTCAGTGACAGGTATAGTGCCC